CAAATGATAGAATCAGACCACGGTGTTGCCAACCAAAAGAGAGGAATCGGTGTGGAAATACCATGAGGGCTCTAAATAGATGGAACGTGACGAATCCCAGGACAAGGGTGAAGGATGAAGGTTTTGACCAATCCTAGGAAGGGATTTGTCAAAGCCTTCATCCTTCACCCTCTGGTTTCTTTTCTGGTGTTGTTACTTATTCTTTTAGATATTTCATCCATTTATTTGTCTATATTTTCTTGTTCGGCGTTTTTCCTACTTCAACTCGTGGATTGAACACCGCAGAATCATATTTATTTATCCTGAATTTTCATAGAAAACAAATTTATGCAAAAATTTTGGCTCTAATAGCAGTATCCGCATGTCTTGGGGCATTGCGTCCTCATCAATGAGAGATAGGCTGAGTTAAAACAATAGGCGGACATTCCAGGACATTCGTTCACTCCAGTTCGTGGATTTTTTGTATCAGCACAAGTCGTCGTCGCTCTTGTGGTTGCAGTACCTGATAAAAACAACCTATATCCTCTAGTCATCCCTAGTAGTTCCATCAACTAGTGGACAGAGGTTCCCTTAAAATAAAAAACGAGCAAAACTAGCCCAATAATCTTAGTTATTATGGTAGTGAAGAGCTAAAGATGAGGCAGTGCAGTGGCGGGTGGTCCGCCATAATAGGTATGGTAATCAAAATAATAAAAACAAGAGATCCAATATCGGACCGCAGCGTTACCCCTACATGCAAGTATTCTTCCACGCACGGAAATTCGGCTCATGTATCTCAAAATTTATGGATTCAGACAAAACGAATTTTGCTGGTAGACTGATGCTACTTAGCCGCACAGAATGCGCTTTCCTACGAGGCGAGACGAGCTCAACGCATTGTCATAACCCTTTGTTTTCCTCTTTACCGTTTTGGAATGGAGTGAGCTATCTATTATTGTGCTGGGGGAACTCCATGTCTCCCTACTTGTGATTAGCGAAGGTATTGAAGGTATTACAGTCCATGAAGGAGGGCAACAAGGGGCGTGGCTGCTGAGACGCGGCCTCATGAAGCGTAACGACAGTACGTTCTCCCGGCTGCTGCCACGTAAGCCGTTGATAAATGATGTTAGGTAAGAAGTACCGTTCCCTCGGCCGCTGGTCGGCACGAGAATGTACACCCTACCTAGTGGGCTCAATCTATTCCCCATATCTCTCGGGAGCAGGGTCAATCCCATTCAAAAGAGCAGATTCCGTTTCTGCAGCAAAATCAGCTGTTCATGGTTTTTCTATTGCTTTTTGTTCCGTGTTGTGAAGGACTCAAATAACGCCGGGGTGTAAAAAGTACCCCTGAGAACAGCTGATTACCAACCTGACGCCTGAACCCCCGAGAGCCGATTTAACCACCCAGGAGCGGCATGTGAAGGAGTAAATCTTACCGGTGCAATAACCGCATGTGAGTGGACACTGATCACGCATAAGAGACAGATAGACTGAGTTCGTGCAGTAGCTCTTCATTCCAGGGCAATCTGATTTTCCAGTGTTCGCGTTTGTCTGTAAACAAATTTTTTTGGAAAGCTACAGAGTCACCAAATAAAACAGTCAATGTGGTCCGAGTCCGGAGGGTCATACTTTGTCAACGCACGGCGTGGTAGTTGTGGCAGCTGAAACCGAGAAAGTTAAGGTTCAGCAGTACGAGGAAGGTGGGCAGGACTCACTGACAACACTTGATGTGGGACAGCATCCTCTAAGCGTGGAAATCTGACGACGAGTCCTACGAGCTCACCACTGGTTGCCACACTGCAGCTCTGAGCGCTGGCGGTAGCGATCAGGCCAATTGTCAAAAGGATAGTGGGGAAAAACATCTCGGAACTGACGATGGGTGGTCTCTCCAGCCTTTATCTCACTTAGCTCACTTCCCATCGCGCACATCCTGAACAGCCGCAAGCAGCTCGACACACAATCAAAGGTTGCGAACTTGGAGCTGCGGCATAATAAATAATGGACACGCGATCGACCAACCTTGTTGATGTGCGCCATGAATCTAACAGCATCAAGGTTTCGAAGAGGATTCAGAGCGATGGAGATATTCACATGGCAGCAGAAAACATTGGAACCCACTAGCGAATGAGGGGAAAACCGCCGAAAACGCCTCCAACAAGTTCCTTGCTGTAACCTCCCATCCTAGGACGATCTCCCATGTGGGAGCTGAATGGGTCGCCAGCTGCAGTATCGTGCACATTTCTGCTCAAAAATGCATGGGAACGTGGTTCGAGGGTAATGATACCAGGGTACCGTCTCCCGTCTCCGCTGATGCCTGACAACAATGTGCAGCACTTGCGTACATAACAAAGTACCACAAGGAGCAAACGTCAGAGGTCAAGAACAGCCTAGGAGTGAGAGTGCACGGACAAGCGGTGCCTTGGTCATGGTTAAGTGCACGGGAACGTGGCTGGAGGTGTGATGATACCCGGCTAACGCTCCAACGTCCTGAACGTTTCGAGCGCCAGCGCTCTGAGCGTAAGCGTTCAAGAAGTCCACCACCGTTCTGAGCGTTCGTCAGCCTTTTCAGAGATACTTAGCAAGTACCGCTCAAGCAACTAAGAATGCTTGAAACCCTTAAGACGCTCAGAAAGCTGCTGTAAAGTATGAACGCACTCTGAGGCCTTCAAATCACCTGGCACTAGAACGGCAGCATTCACATCGGTTCCATCTAGGCAGCATCGAATCGCCTACAATGGTTTTTACCTATGTCCTAGATACAAGCAGTGAACGTGCATAAAAATGGTATTGCTCAGAATGATAGGGGGAAATCAGAGGTTCAACGAAGAGGAACAATCTTTCCGTACATAAATTTTTCTAAAAGCAAGTGATCGTGATAATGCTCGATGGGTAGGCCCGATAGGAGGGTATTGTGCCCTCCCCATAAGTATTTCCACTCCTATCGAAACGGTACAGAAGAGGGACAGATCTGTTTCGCAATTAGCCTCATCCTACTGTTGGGAAAAAACGATGCTGGGGAAAAATGAGAAGGGAATAATGCGGTCCACCGCCTCGAAATGTTCTTCTTTGGTACGACCCACCCCTTTCCCATCCGCTTCTACATCACCTAAATTGTCTCAAATTTATAGCCCTTTTTTCCTCCGAAAAGCTTCCAATCCGAGCCACCCTGCGGAGAGGGGGAGATGGTATGCAGGGCCGGTGAAATAGGAAAACTGAGAGCATCAACTGCCTGAAAAGTTCTTAGCAAAAGCGATAACGACCCGCTCCCCCCCCCACTCCTTCCTCCACTGAATCCTCTCACTGGGGACATACCAACGTACAAAGGGCCGTGTCTGTAATATGTGTGTCTATCAATTTCAGTGTTTTTTTTAGATTTACGGAGAAAACTGTAAGTAAAAAAGTATGATAAATCAATGCCAAAATAAACCCGAAGTATAAAACAAAATACACCGGAAATAAAAATGAAATACAAACAAAAAATGATCTAAACATTGAAAAATAAAAATGAATACTGAACGAAACGAGGCAAATGTAGGATTGAAGTTGTGAAGTAAAAGTTTGAAAAGGAATAGTAGATGCCGAAAGTCATTCACTCTGTCATTCCTCAACGCCGATTTGGAATGACCATTTGAGTCTAATCGGTAACGACATGTCGATAGATTGCCCGTTCACAAGAATCGTATCTTATTGACATAAATACTGGCAGCTGTCATGGTGGGAAAATCGTAGTAAATAGGCCAGATCAGATTCTTTACGATTCTACTTCAACACCTATGTGAAAAAGTTCTGCATGCATGTTTTTTGTGTTTTTGAATATTTCACAAAATTACCGTTTCAAGTAACTCTTATTAAGCACAAGGTAGTAGTGGTTCTTTCTTGTCGTCGCGTGCCTGGATGTCGGTGCGAACAAGTCTCTTGCGTGTTCAGATGGCAGGCGGAGGAATACGTGGATCTATCTCGTCAGCGTGGGGGTCGTATTTGGTTGCCTGAGGAAGGATAGCGTCGCTTTTGCCGTGATATACCACTCGCATTTTGGAGAGAAAACTGAATTTTTTTATAAAATTCCAAACGAAGTGGTGATAAGCTGGAAAATTTAGAAAGATGCTTGGTAGGGGAAAGTGGTGTACCTGAACAAGGAATTTGAGGTGGGTGACACTTTGTAAACTTTCCCCAGCAGCAGGGCGTGCACTGAATCGGCACTATATTGGGTTTTCTCGATGGAGATGGATGTTTATTTCATAGAGAGTCTTTGGAGAACATATCACGGCCCAGTGGCTAGAGATCGGCCTAGAATCATAAGTATAGTTGACATCGTGGAAACCCATTGAGGCGTGGAATCAGCCCACCCACGGCCGCGTTTTCCTTCACTGGTGGCTGGAGCAGGTAGATACACACCAGTTGTAGAGCTTGGGCTTGGGAGACGGACAAGAGAATGGTGAATTGCCGCTCCATCGCGCGCGGCAATGGCTCAGACGTTTCCTTAATTTGCACTACCGTTTTATTGGAGCATCGGATTTTATGTAGCAAGGACCTAGCAGACGCTCATACCTATTTTTGATCATACATTGTCTATCCTCGACCAATACCACCCAAAATCGTCGTCATTAGCATACGCGTAGTCGCACGCGGCACCTACTCGCGCGGCGGATTACGATTCTCTTGCCACTACCCTACCACCTATCCCTTGGACTTACTCCACGCCTCTTGACGCCGATCGTTCGAATTGATGTTAGATGTCTGTTATTGCAGTAAAATAAATCTTTACATTTATCCCGCGGATCCTGGCCTTGCCATATGTGAAGTGATGGAGCCGCAGCTACAGTAGCGAGCCGCTTTCTCTGGTGAGAAGTGCACGGGAACAGGTGCCGTCTCCCGAGTCCGCTAGTCCTGCTGCACGCTCAGCCCCACGCGTCATCGTAGCCAAACAGGCTCCTGTGTGCGTTCTCTCACTTTAGTCTCTCTTTTGGTTATTCTCTATCGTTGAGTACGTCCTTCGCTGCGGGACCTTTGCACCACCACTTCATGACTTGATGGTAATACCTGTAGCGCCAGAGTGCTACCACTACCCTGCAGTGCGGCTTCCGTGCACTTCTGAGCGGAGAAGCTGTCACGCTATCGCAGCTGCGGACCCATTCAATTTGCACATGGCAAGGGCCACTCTCGTGAGGGTACAGTATCCTTGTGGGTTGTACTTGGCCGCAGGGCAGGAAGGTCGTATTCGGTCGTTGTTGAGTGGGGGGCGGATGCGGCTTCGAGAGAAATTTGGAAAAAATGGCACTATTTACCCTTTACTTCCCCCGCCATCCGAAATCAGGCCAGTTCCTGAGTGCTGAAAACTTGGCTCCAGAGGTAGTTCGACCCGCTGAACACGAATATCGCATCCGCTTGACCCGAAACCTCCTGGCGCCCGCGCCACGGGCACCGGCGCCAAAATACCCCAAATCATTGGCGCCTGTGGCGCGGGCGCCAGGAAGTTTCGGGCTGAGCGAATGTGATATTCGTATTCTGGAGGTCAAACTACCCCAGGAGACAACATTTGAGCAAAATCTGCCCACGGAGAAAAAAGTCGGTCAGGAACTGGCCTGATTTCGGATGACTGGGGCAGTAAAGGGTAAATAGTGCCGAAAAAATTTCTCGGTCGTTGACTTTTCGGTGATTTTGCCTGTTTCATGTGCCTTACATATACCCCCCCCAACCCCGCTCAATGGAAAATATCAGGGTGGAAAATGTGGAAAATTGGTAAGCAGCAGGTGCTGTTGTGGGAGGTCACCCTCTCCTATGTAGATGGAGGCGGGTCGAACAAAGACTCCTCTTGAGAGAGGGGGGATCGTACTGGCACCACCATTTCACGCATCATGAAAGCTATACCCTGTTTCGGAGGCGAGTGCACAGTTTGTCAATAATTTTGCCTGCGATTGGTTTTTTTTTCAAAAATATATAAAGTAGCGAATATTCAGTTACTTCTGCCAAACGAGGTTTTTAGATGACACCTTTATTGGCCTTACGTTTCGACCTTCTCGTCTTCTTCAGAGGCCTGAAAATGGCTCGAAGCTTTTAATTTGTTACCTACCCGACCAAACGCCCTCCCCACTCTAGCGTTTCCGACCTTGTTTCCCAAACGCTTCCCAAAAACTCGGTAATGAGTCCTAACAACTCACCGAAGGTATCACCGTGCGGAGCTCAGCTCACGCAGCAAGTTAGTAGTACCAGTAAGGACGAATGAATATAGTAACTGAATATTCGACATCATGCCGAGGTTTCAAGAAGGGACAACATGGAGATTATATAAAGTAGCATAATGATAGTCAATAAAAAGAGTTCAACAACAAGCTAGAAAACAATGAAATAGTCAAAACTGCTGCGACTATTATTATATTTCCCTCGCATTCCTCAGCCTTGCGGAGAAATGTCCTTTGATAATGAATAAGAAAAAGTAAAAAAGCTTCCTTTTTTTAGGTAATGACCAATGTTCTATTGTTCCCGGCCACTCTAGTTGATTTGAAGGATGCTACTCA